TGTGGTTATGCAGAGAAACCATGGTACTTACCAAATGGTCTGTCTGATGCCATGGTTCCCAGCCACCTTGCAGTGGGCAGGATGAGTTCCAGCCAATGAGTTGAGCAGAGAAAAGTCTGTGCATGATTTTGTGCTCCTCTCTTGCCCTGAAGCCACGTGTTGAAACAGTGGTGTCACCAGTTGGCGGAGCCACCATCATCCTGGGTCTCCGAGGACTCGTTTGATCCAGACTCCTTGTCGGCCCTCATTTGACCTGTGACCTGAAGGAGAAGCCCACCTCTGTTAATTAAGCCAGTGAGGTATTTGGGTGATGCATCAGAACTCCTGAGGGTAGGGCCCAGGTGTCTGTTTCACCACGTTCTCCAGGGGCTCTGAGAGCCGCCCTGCTAGATGAGGCCAAGCTCTGTGGGGAGTTCCTGCCGTGGGAGGGTGGCTTCCCTCCCCAAGCTCCGTCCCGTGTCTCAGGAGCTCAAGGAGGCCAGACGGCTGCAGCCCACCTTGCTTAAAGGGGAGAGACAGAGTTGGGCAGGGGGTTGTCTGCCCAGCTCGGGCAGGGAAGGCTTTGAGACCGGGTGACCCTGGATCTGGGCTTCTGGGGTGAGCAGGATTTGCCTAGTGGGGAGGACATTCCAAGCAGAGGGTAAAGGTGTGGAGGAGAGAAGGGAAAAGGGGCCTAGAATGCATGCTGCTTCTGTGTTCCTCCTTACAATAGAATGCTCAGTGACAAACACAGGAGGGACAAGAGAGTTAGAAAAAACCCCACCATTTTGCAAAACTAACCCATTTAGACAAAGCGGATGCTACAACCTCTGGGCAAGAGTTTCTCAAGTAGCAGGCTATTTACAGACACTGTACCTTCCCACAGGCTGTTTACTAGTTTTCAAAGGGTTGGGGTTACCTTTGCAGAGGAGAAACCTATCGTGTACCACTTTAAACCAGTTATCGAACTGAACATTACATGTGGTGTCTGGGGGAGGGCACATCACTTCCGTGCTGTTCTGCCAAAAATGCAAAACCGGAATCATGATGTTGACAAACTGACAAACCCAAATTGAGGGACATTTCATAAAACAATGTACTTGTTCCCTTTAAAAACATCAGTGTCATGAAAGAAAGACAGAGGGATAGTTCCAAAATAATGGAGGATAGAGAGACAACTCACGTAATTCATGACCCCCCAGATTGGAAAAGATGCTGTAAAAAGTTGGGATGATTAGAGAAATTTGCGTATTGGGAACATATTTTTAAATATTGTATTGATATTAAGTTTCCTGAATTGCACCACTGTACTGTGCTATGTAAAAGCAAATCCTATTTCCTAGGGGAGAGAAAAGGATCAAAATAAAGGGGCTTGACATCTGTCTGCAAGCCACCTTCAGATATTTCTTAAAAAAGCAAGAATTCGTTTAAAGGAAGATGCCAGGAAAGGAACCCTCAAAAGGTGGGAAGCACCCCAGTCCTATCAGTTTTGTAAACTGTAAGAAGTGCATTCTTTTACCTCGTGGCTGTGGCAGAAGGGTGCTCGTGCGGGGTTAGTTTTTCCTCCCTCTTCTAGGCTGAGTTTCCCTCTGTGTATCTGAGCCCTGCCCGCAGCCCAGGGAGCTCCACCAGAGGGCGCCAGGGCCCAAAGGGACGTTGTCAAAGAGGCAGCTGATGGGACCAGGAAACAAAAGTCAAAGTCTTCGTTTTTAGTTTTGAAGAAAAAGGCTCAGTATACATTTCGGTGTAAAACAAAAAAATCTGGATTGAAAATTTACTGAGCCAGTTTTTCTTTCTACTGCTTAGTCCCCCTCCCTCACTCCCAGGGCCCAAACAGCTTCCCCAAGCTGGTGCGGGAAGGCGGGAGCTGGTGGCGCGGCCTGCACCTGCCCTGTTCCTGGGCCAAGTCCAGGGTCTGGGAGAAGCCCCGGGTGAGTCTGGGATCCAAGGACAGGCGAGCTCGTTTCCCAGGGATGCAGGCGCTGAGCTAGCGGAGACGTTCCAGAACCCCAGCCCAGGTCCTGACCCCATCACAGGGCCGGGACCACACAGGGCAGGGAAGTACACATGACAGCAAGTGGGTCTCGATGGGAAGATCCCCAGGAGATTTCGGAGTCCCTGGCACCAGAAGGATGTGAGACTCACTTCCAAACATTGCCGGGGCTGGAGAGCAGAGGCAAGTATGCCCGGAGGGGCCTTTCCAACAGGACAAAGGTAGTGGACCCAATGTGGGCACCCTCTGTGCCCAATGAGAGGTGGCGCACAGAACTTACATGCTTCCTGGGGAGAAGCTTGTGGAAGTGGAAACTTATTCTGAATTACCCGAGTTGATTGGGAGGTCAGAGTAGGGATTAAGTCAAGATTTAGAAACAGGAAATTAATCTTTTGCACATTGGGCCTCCTGGCAATTATCATTTCCTGGGAGGAGTTATTCTCTGTAGCCAGCAGAGGGCGCTAGGAGACTGCAGAAAACCTGAAGGACCCAGCCCTGATGAGCCAATCCTAAAATCAGATGGGTGTGCTTTTCCCTGGAAAGCAATTCAGGGCTGGCGACTGTCCTAGTAGAGACGTTGAGGGAAGTCACAAGGCTTAGTCTCAACTTACCAGTTGAACTCGAGGGAGGCATTCACAGCCAAAGGGATGGCATATACACAAGCTCGGGGTCTAAGTGCAAAAACTGAGCATAGAATGGGGAGGAAACCTGGAATATCCTCTTGCCACACTCAGCAGACAGAAGAAAGCATTTTTAAAAAAAAACTTTAAAAAGTACATTCTATATGAAGGTGTTTCCATCTTTTGAAATTAACTCCCTCCCATTTTAATACATCTTCCTTTAAAAAATATTTTTTATTCTTTATGACTAAATCCAGGGTTGGAGGAAGTATTTGCTCAGTGGTACTTGGGAATTCATTACATCTAATACCCAAGGTTCAGGCTGATCGTGCTCTGAAGTTCCAAAGACCTGAACACCAGAGAATGAGGCCTTTAGCTTGGACCAGCAGCGGGGAGGCTCAGTGGTGCCTTGGGCAGAAGTGAGAGATTCAGGAAACAGGTAGCAAGACAGGAGCCGGAGCCAAGCACTAGCAGGGCAGGGAATTCAGCAGGGTTTTCTAGGGCCAGGCAGCTGCCAGGGAGACTCAAGTGCAGGCCAAAGATTAGGGACATTATTAAGAAGGGAAAAACCAGAGATGTGCTGCTGTCCCAGGCCCCGCAAAGACCTAAACCCTAGTTCTCCCAGGGGCTTCTGTTAGTCGCCTGTGACTCTAAGACTCAGAGAAGCAGTGGCAGCATGTGATCCCTGACTCTCCTGTTTGCCTGACTTCCAGCCCTTGGTGGCCTTCATCACCCTAGGGTCCCTAGCTGGTGATTGGAGAAGAAATTGCATTATGTTCTCAGCCGATCTGAGTGTCTGACTCACCAAAGAAACGGTTGCCTGGCTCAGGAACAGGGTAGTAGGTCGGTACCTCCACCCCCACCCACTGATACCCAATCTCTGTCCCCCTCTGAGGCTGCGCTCTCAAGGCTCCAGTCCTGATGGGCCGATTACAGAGGGATGAAGGTGATGGAGGCTTAGACAGGTCTCAACAGCCAGCCAGGCCCCTGGGACTTTAAGGACATGTTGGGTGGTACTTCTCAATTCTAAGTGGTGAAGAATTGGTTGATTATTTTGTTTTTCAAATTGATCTATCATGGGCCACTATTTTTGCAACATACAATAACAATAAATTACATAAAGAACAAATACAAAATACAAAATCAGTTTTTAAACTACTAGAGTCAACAGACATTAAGTTATATTCAAAAATATAAGATCAAAGTCAGCAGAAGGAAGGAAGTAATAAAGATCAGGGAGGAAATAAATAAAATCAAGATTAAAAAACAATAGGAAAAATCAATCAAACAAAGAGCTGGTTTTTAGAAAGAGTAAACAAAATTGACAACCCTCTAGCCAGGCTCACCAAGAAGAAAGAGAGAGAACACAAACAAAATAAGAAAAGAAAATGGACAAATTACAACTAACACCACAGAAATACAAAAAAACCATAAGAATACTATGAACAACTGTAGGGAAACAAACTGGACAACCTAGAAAAATGGACAAGTTTCTGGAAACATACAGTCCACCAAGATGAATCAAGAAGAAAT